CAGGGCGCATTACGGAAGTAAACACAGCCCCTGGCTTTGATTTTGCTTGCCATCAATGAAGTGGCTTCACTTTGAGGAAATTAATCATACGCGTGTTAGTTGATTAAATTATGAGATAGCCTGCTTAGGCCTAAAAACAATATTCCCCCCCCCCCCCTTTTTGGCAACGTTTTATTTTTCACACCATGTGTCTTTATATATACAGTTTGTATCCTTTTCATTTTTTTCATTCCACATTTGCCTGGGGATTTGTGATTTTAGATATTTCTGATTTGTGGTTTTGTGGCATCACAGGACGACCCTTGGACCCGCATCTGACAAAACAAGCCCTCTCTAGATGCAGTGCTATCCTTTTGGTGGAAGTTGCCATAGCATTATTATTATTATTATTATTATTATTATTATTATTATTATTAAATTATTATTAAACTTTATTTGTACCCCGCTAGCATCTCCCACAGGACTCGATGCGGCTTACAAAGGCCAAGGCCTCAACACACAATACAACAATACAAAACCTAGGGAAATTAAAACAATTAAAGCAATCTAAAACAACAAGCAATAAACAATCCACTAAGTCACAATAAAACTGGGCCGGGGCAGAGTAAGGGTACAAGAGTTAAAAGTGCTGATGTGACAGGTGGAAATGAGGCTTATGGGCAAGTGCAGTGTGCAGTGTGCGGCGGTTTTGGCTTTAATAAAGTGCTTATGGGACTTATGGGTAGTTGGTAATGGAGGTTTCCTATTCGGGAAAGGCACATCGGAACAGCCAGGTCTTCAAGTTCTTTCTGAAGACTGGCAATGTAGGGGCCTGCCTAAGATCTTTGGGGAGGGTGTTCCAGAGTCGGGGGGCCACCACGGAAAAGGCCCTGTCTCGTGTCCCCACCAAATACGCTTGCGACGCAGGTGGGATCACGAGCAGGGCCTCTCCAGATGAACGAAGAGAGCGCGTGGGTTCGTAGACGGAGATGTGATCACGCAGGTAGGCAGGTCCCAAACCGTTCAGGGCTTTGTAGGTAAGCACCTGCACCTTAAATTGGGCTCGGTAGATAAACGGCAGCCAGTGGAGCTCCTTGAACAGGAGGGTTGACCTCTCTCTGTAAGGAGCGCCAGTCAACATCCTGGCTGCTGCTCGTTGGAGCAGTTGGAATTTCCGAGCCGTTTTCAAGGGCAGCCCCACGTAGAGCGCATTACAGTAATCCACCCTAGAGGTGACCAAGGCATGGACCACTCCAGCCAGATCAGCCTTCGCAAGGTACGGTCGCAGTTGGCACACGAGTCTTAATTGTGCAAAAGCCCTCCCAGACACCGCTGACGCCTGAGCCTCAAGCGTAAGCGATGAGTCCAGGAGGACTCCCAAACTGCGGACCTGTGACTTCAGGGGGAGTGTAACCCCGTCCACACAGGTTGCCACCCTATACCCCGGTCAGGTTTGCGATCGACCAGAAGGACCTCTGTCTTGTCAGGATTGATCTTCAGCTTGTTCCTCCTCATCCAGATAGACACAGCGGCCAGACACTCATCCAGCACCCGAGAGGCCTCCTTGGAATTCGGTGGAAATGAGTAGTAGAGTTGTGTGTCATCTGCATAGAGGTGGCACCCAACTCCAAAACTCCGGATGACCTCTCCCAGCGGTTTCATGTAGATGTTAAAAAGCATGGGAGACAGAATAGAGCCTTGCGGGACCCCACAGGTCAAAGGCCAGGGGTCCGAGCAGGTGTCTCCCAGCTTCATCATCTGGGAACGACCCTCCAGGAAGGATTGGAGCCACGACAGAACCGTGCCCCCGAGACCCATCCCAGAGAGTCGACCCAGAAGGATACCATGATCGATGGTATCGAAAGCCGCTGAGATGTCCAAGAGAACCAACAGAGTCACACTCCCCCTGTCCAGCTCTCTACGGAGGTCATCCACCAAGGCGACCAGGCTGTCTCGGTGCCGTGACCAGGCCTGAAACCAGACTGCGACTGATCTAGGTAGTTGATGTCATCCAAGAAGCCCTGGAGCTGAGAAAATTCCTCTCTGGATTTCATCTCAAGGAATTTTCTACGTGATCTAGTGCAGGCATAAGCAAACTTCAGCCCTCCAGGTATTTTGGACTCCAACTCCTATAATTCCTAACAGCCTACCAGCCAGGCATGTAGCTTCAGCCCCCCCCCCCCCCCCGAAATTCTCAGGGTGGTCCACAAGAAGGCCTTACTGGTACATTATTTGAACTGTTATGTTTATTCATATCATGATCTGATCACCATGCTCAATATAACCCATATGCATGGGGGTATTGGGGCAATGATACAAAAGGTTTGCTAGGGTAGATCCTCAGCCCCCCCCCCCTTTGAATCAAACTCACCCCCCCCCCCGAATCAAACTCAGCACCCCCCGAATCAAAATTCTGTCTACCGACCATGAGGAAGTGTAGAAGTTGGAGTCCAAAACACCTGGAGGGCCGAAGTTTGCCCATACCTGCTCCAGGGAGACTGCGATAACTTTGGCAAAAGAAATTCATTTTACTAGGGTTTTCTATTATCTACAGCAGGAGTCCTCAAACTTTTTAAACAGAGGGCCAGGTCACAGTCCCTCAAACTGTTGGAGGGCCAGATTATAATTTGAAAAAAAAATCAATGAATTCCTATGCACACTGCACATATCTTATTTGTAATGGAAAAGACACTTAAAATACAATAATTAAAATTAAGGACAATTTTAACAAGTATAAACTTAGTAGTATTTCAATGAGAAGTGTGGGCCAACTTTTGGCTGATGAGATATGATTGTTGTTGTTGTTGTGTGCTTTCAAGTCATTTCAGACTTAGGTTGACCCTGAGCGAGGGCCGGGTAAATAACCTTGGAGGGCTGCATCCAGTCCCCGGGCCTTAGTTTGAGGACCCCTGATCTACAGTTTCGCCAGGAATATAGGGATCGTCTTGTATTTTTATTTTATCTGAACTATTAGCTATTCCAAAGAAGGGAGGAATAGAACGTACAGATTTATTTATTTATCGTGTCAGAAGCGAGTTGAGGGTACAGTTAAAATGCATTTAAAAATACAAACAAACTTGGCATTAGATTAAATGTTCTTTGACCAGTAGCTGGCCACTTGGAGTGCCTCTGGTGTTACTATAAGAAAGTCCTCCATTGTGCATGTAGCAGGGTTCAGGTTGCATTGTAGTAGGTGGTCTGTGGTTTGCTCTTCTCCACACTTGTATGTTGTGGACTCCACTTTATAGCCCCATTTCTAAAGATTAGCTCTGCATCTCATAGTGCCAGATCACAGCCTGTTCAATGCCTTCTGGGTCACCCAGCCTCCTGTGTGCTCAGGAGGGAGTTTCTCAGCCAGTCTCAGCCATTGATTAAGGTGCTGGATTTTAACCTGCCACTTTTGGACTCTCGCTTGCTGAAGTGTTCCTGCGAGTATCTCTGTAGATCTTAGGAACCTATTTCTTGTTGACATGCAGGCTGATATCCAAACAGAGGATGGGCCAGAGACATCACTGCTTTGGTCCTTTCATTTTTGGTTGCTACTTCCCAACAGATGTCAGGTGGTGCAATACTGGCTAAACAGTATAATTTCCCCAGTGGTGTAGATCTGCCCCTTCCCTCCTGACCTTCAGAAAGCTAGTGACAAAGCATTCCCAGAATAATTGGTTAGATCCAGCAATAACCTAATAGTTATTGACCACATTTGCGTACTGAGTTGAACTTGATTCTATCTTGGCGATTTGGCTTCTATGTATTTATTCTGTCTGTATTTTAACTTATTATGATTTTATGATGTTTTTAGATGTATTTGTGCATTGAAGTTCTGCTGTTAGCCGGTCTGAGTCCCTCCACAGAGGTAGAGAAGATCAGGATATGAAGGTTTAAATAAATGAATTAATTAAATAATAGACATCCTGTGATAATGCGGCATGTCTCATTAAGAGCCACATCTACTGTTTTAGCATGGTGAGATGTGTTCCTCACTGACCATGCTTACTCAGCAGATTAGCCAAGCCCAAAAGCAGATGTCTTCACTGTGTCTAGTTGTGATCCTCAAGTTGTGTCAGTCAGCTTTTTTAGACTAATGTATACAAATTGTGCAAAGATTACTGCAGATGCAGACTGTGGCCAGGAAATCAGAAAACGCTTACTTCTTGGAAGGAGAGCAATGTCCAATCTCGATAAAATAGTAAAGAGTAGAGACATCACACTGGCAACAAAGATCCGCCTAGTCAAAGCCATGGTATTCCCTGTAAGTAACCTACGGACGTGAGAGCTGGACCTTAGGGAAGGCTGAGCGAAGGAAGATAGATGCTTTTGAACTGTGGTGCTGGAGGAAAGTTCTGAGAGTGCCTTGGACTGCGAGAAGATCCAACCAGTCCATCCGCCAGGAAATAAAGCCCGACTGCTCACTGGAGGGAAGGATACTAGAGATAAAGTTGAAGTACTTTGGCCACATCATGAGGAGACAGCAAAGCCTAGAGAAGACAATTATGCTGGGGAAAGTAGAAGGCAAAAGGAAGAGGGGCCGATCAAGGGCAAGATGGATGGATGGCATCCTTGAAGTGTCTGGACTGACCTTGAAGGAGCTGGGGGTGGTGACGGCCGACAGGGAGCTCTGGCGTGGGCTGGTCCATGAGGTCACGAAGAGTCGGAGATGACTGAATGAATGAACAACAACATACAAATTGTCTGTCTGACTATCTGATCTATATTAAGTCAACATTTCCTCCCCTGTGGAAATGTCATCTTTATAGATTGAATATAAGTTTCCTAAATGAGCATGAGAATATATCCAGGTAGGAGTGAAGTTGCCGCTGACGCAGCCAACGATGCTGTTGGAATCCATCTTGAACGGAGAGAGACTTGTAGAGCTGTAGAATTCGCAGAATGATCCTGGTTGACCATCTCTCAACTGATCAGAAACTGAGTCAAATGACTTAAATGTATGCAAGTCAGTGTCTATTCACACAGTCTTCTGATTGTGGTTGTGTCTTCTTCTCTTTCCCCTTTCCATGCAGGCTCAAGCCGTCACCCTCACGGTCGCTCAAGCGTTCAAAGTGGCATTTGAATTTTGGCAGGCATCCAAGGAAGGTGAGTGTACGGATTCATCTCCACCTCCCTGGCTTCTCAGCAGCTACGCACCAATGTGAGGCACATTTGGCCTTTTGTTGCAGCTGCTGCCGCCGCCGTTGTTTGACTTTCTCCCTGGAAGGGGAAATATTGCCTTTATGCATTGGTTCCTTTTTACAGAAAGCACAGCGAATGAAATTCCAATTCCTCAGCTCTTTTCGCTGGAGGCTTCTCCTAATTCCGAGAGGTTTGCGATCAAATGCCCTGCAGCTTCCAACCTGTACACCTGCCCATTTCTGGCCTTCATAGTGTCCACTCATATTTCATGCTTTGGATTAGTTTTTCCGATCTGGGCTCCGTTTTATTATCTGGTGCCAGTGAACGCTTCCAGAAAGGGCAGCCTTTCATGACATTCTCCCCTTGCTGATAGGGGGAAACGGGGGCCATTTTTTACATGTTTTAATGGTTTTTATATATGTTTTTATATTGTTATGTTGAATGATTTTAATCGCACTTTTATGAATGCATGGCATCAAATCATGTTAATCCGTTTATTTATTTATCGTGTCATCAGCAACCATACCATTGTATTACATTTCTAACAGAACAAAACAAACAAACAGATTAAAAAAGCACAAATTTTGCAAACTTGGTAGTTGATTAAATGTCCTTTGACAAGTATCTGGCCACTTGGAGTGCCTCTGGTGTTGCCGCAAGAAGGTCCTCCATTGTGCATGTGGCAGGGCTCAGGTTGCATTGAAGCAGGTGGTCTGTGGTTTGCTCTTCTCCGCACTCGCATGTCGTGGATTCAACTTTGTAGCCCCATTTCTTAAGATTGGCTCTGCATCTCGTGGTGCCAGAGCGCAGTCTGTTCGGTGCCTTCCAAGTCGCCCAGTCTTCTGTGTGCCCAGGAGGGAGTCTCTCATCTGCTATCACCCACAGATTGAGGTGCTGGGTTTGAGCCTGCCGCTTTTGGACTCTCGTTTGCTGAGGTATTCCAGCGAGTGTCTCTGTAGATCTAAGAAAACTATTTCGTGATTTAAGTCGTTGACATGCTGGCTGATACCCAAACAAGGGATGAGCTGGAGATGTCGCTGCCTTGGTCCTTTCACTATTGGCTGCTACTTCCCGGCGGATGTCAGGTGGTGCAATGCCGGCTAAGCAGTGTAATTTCTCCAGTGGTGTAGGACGCAGACACCCTGTAATAATGCGGCATGTCTCATTAAGAGCCACATCCACTGTTTTAGTGTGGTGAGATGTGTTCCACACTGGGCATGCATACTCAGCAGCACAGTGTTAATCTGTAACCCGCCTTGAGTCGCCTTATGGTTGAGAAAGGCAGGCTATAAATGTCGTAAATAAATAAATATTTTTGGAATCAGCAGGTTGGGTATACTCAGAAGCAGGTCTAACATTTGAGGCACCAAATGTGTGTTGGCCAGTGCGATAGTTGAATTTTATTTATTTATTTATTTATTTTTACTGCACTTACTGTATATCCTGCCTTTCCATATTATTTGATAACTGAAAATTCTTTTGAACTAAACATAACAAAAACAGATTGTACATAGCCTGAAAAAACCTACAACAACCCAGATTGTACATAGCAAGGGAGATTCAGTGTGAATACATATACAATGATGCATATAGTAGAAGAACATATGCATATGCCGCAGCAATAAAAGCCGCAAAGAAAACTTTCTTTGCGGCCACGATTGCGTCTGCAAAGAACCGTCCGGCGGAGCTGTTCCGGATTGTCAGAGGCCTTTTAAATCCCGCCACGCTAGATGGGAACCCTGACAATACGGCCTCTCGCTGTGAAGCCTTTGCTCGGTTCTTTGCAGACAAAGTCGCTTTGATCCGTTCTGGTCTGGACACCATATTAAATGCAGTCTCTGAGGATGTAACACGAGCACCTGCTTGTCTGATTTTGATGGATTCATTTCAATTGGTGAAGCCCGAGGATGTGGACAAGATACTTGGAGGAATGAGGCCTACCACGTCCACCCTAGACCCCTGCCCATCCTGGCTTCTAAAGGAGGCCAGAGGGGGATTGGCTGAGTGGGTTAAGGTGGTGGTTAACGCCTCCCTTCGGGAAGGCAAGATTCCAGCGAGCCTAAAACAAGCTATAATAAAACCGCTGTTGAAAAAACCATCACTGGACCCCACTAAATTTGATAACTTTCGGCCAGTTTCCAATCTCCCCTTTTTGGGCAAAGTCCTGGAACGCGTGGTGGCCTCACAACTCCAGGTATTCTTGGGAGACACGGATTATCTGGATTCGACACAGTCTGGTTTCAGACCGGGACATGGAACTGAGACAGTCTTGGTCGCCTTAGTGGATGATCTGCGCCGGGAGCTCGACAGGGGGAGTGTGTCCCTGTTGGTGCTGCTGGACCTCTCAGCGGCCTCCAATACCGTCGACCACGGTATCCTTCTGGGGCACCTTGCGGAGATGGGTCTCGGGGGCACTGTTTTACAGTGGCTCCGGTCATTCCTGGAAGGCCGCACCCAGAAGGTGTTATTGGGGGACACCTGTTCAACACCACAACCTTTGACTTGTGGGGTTCCACAGGGCTCAATACTGTCCCCCATGCTGTTTAATATCTACATGAAGCCGCTGGGTGAGATCATCCGGAGTTTCGGGGTGCGGTGTCATCTGTACGCAGATGATGTCCAACTCTGTCACTCCTTTCCACCTGCTACTAAGGAGGCTGTCGAGGTCCTGAACCGGTGCCTGGCCGCTGTAACGGTCTGGATGAGGGCGAACAAATTGAAATTGAATCCAGACAAGACAGAGGTACTCCTGGTCAGTCGCAAGGCCGAACAGGGCATAGGGTTACAGCCTGTGCTGGATGGGGTCGCACTCCCCTTGAAGGCGCAGGTTCGCAGCTTGGGTGTGATCCTGGATTCATCGTTAAGCCTGGAGCCCCAGGTCTCGGCGGTGACCAGGGGAGCATTTGCACAGCTCAGGCTCGTGCGCCAGCTGCGCCCGTACCTTGGGAAGTCTGACTTGGCCACGGTAGTCCACGCTCTGGTTACATCCCGCCTAGACTACTGCAACGCTCTCTACGTGGGGTTGCCCTTGAAGACGGCCCGGAAGCTTCAACTGGTCCAGCGTGCGGCAGCCATGTTACTAACAGGAGCGGGACGCAGGGAGCATACAACGCCCTTGTTGTACCAGCTCCACTGGCTGCCGATTTGCTACCGGGCTCAATTCAAGGTGCTGGCGTTGGCCTATAAAGCCCTAAACGGTTCCGGCCCAAAATACCTCTCTGACCGCATCTCGGCCTATGAGCCCACGAGGACTTTGAGATCGTCTGGGGAGGCCCTTCTCTCGATCCCGCCTGCCTCACAGGCATGCCTGGCGGGGACGAGAGACAGGGCCTTCTCGGTGGTGGCTCCTCGGCTGTGGAACACCCTTCCCGTGGACATCAGACTGGCGCCCTCCCTTATGACATTCCGCAAGAAACTAAAGACGTGGCTGTTCGAGAAGGCGTTCGGACAAGAAGTGCAATAAATGGCAATGATGACAGGAATGGTACAACGGAAAACGATATTGGATTGTGGCTTAACGATGAGACGACGTGAATGACCTTTTGTATTTTGTATTATTGATATTGAGATTGCCGATGTTGTTGATGATGCTGTTTTGATGTTGTTTTGATATTGCTAGGTTGTTGTTGTTGGATTGTGTTTTGTAATTTGCACCTTATTCTCTCCATGTTGTACACCGCTGTGAGTCGCCCCTGGGCTGAGAACAGCGGTCTATAAGTACAGTAAATAAATAAATAAATAAACAAGAAGAAGAAGAAGAGGAAGAAGAAGAAGAAGGACTACTACTACTACTTTATTTTTCTACCCCACCTCCATCTCCCCGAAGGGACTCGGGGCGGCTTACATGGGGCCCAAGCCCAAGGCAAAATACAATTAAAAACAAAGCAAAAACAATTAAAACAGCATAAAACAGCGTAAAACAACATAACAATAATACCTAGCAACAACAATAACAGCAGACTAATTTTGGAGGGGGGGGGGGGGAAAGACCACTACATGAACTAGTTAAAGGATAAGTGGTTTAGTAAGGTGGATAACAATGTATAACGGCATAGGAAGTATCATGGAAACAGAGTAAATGAACAGGATCAGTTAATATAGTATAGTATATCAGATTGAATGACAGTTCAAGTCATGATGCAGGTCATTTGTCATAGGAGTCGTCAATCGAAAGCACGACGAAACATCCACGTCTTTAATTCCTTACAGAATATAGGAGCAGAGATGTCTATTTCACATATCACCTGATGAATTTGAGCGTGCAGAGGCTGATCAAGAAATGAAACATATGTGGTGGATAGTTGGATGAAAACATCAACCTGGTGGGTGGCTGCTAATTTTAAGGCAGATTCTTTGGTGAATGCAATTAAAACAAGAATCAAACTGGGTTGCTGTGAGTTTTGTGAGCTGTATGGCCATGTTCCAGAAGCATTCTCTCTTGACGTTTCATCCACATGTATGGCAGGCATCCTCAGAGGTTGTGCGGTCTGTTGGAAACAAGGAAGGTGGGGAGTATATACCAGTAGACTCCTACATGATGACATGATGGCAACAGCCTTGGACAGCAATGGCTCCCAAAGTGACCCATTTAAGGTGGAATCAGGTATCAAACAGGGATGTGTTATTGCCCCAAGCTTATTTTCCATCTTCATCACTATGTTACTTCATCTTGTTGATGGGAAGCTTCCCACCAGAGTGGAAATCATCTATCGGACAGATGGCAAGCTATTTAACCTCAGTAGACTGAAAGCCAAAACCAGGCTTACAACATCTGTTATAGAACTCCCAATATGCTGATGACAACGTCATCTGTGCTCATTGAGAAGAAGATCTACAAACCACTCTAAACACCTTCGCAGAAGCATACGAGAAGCTCGGCTGTCATTGAACATCGAGAAAACCAAAGTGTTCTTCCAGCAGTCACCAGCCAATCCCTCTCCAATGCCAGAAATATAGGTTAATGG